CACTTGAGAACTTGTATGATCACAGAGTAAAAGCAAGTGTATGTTTGATGTAATGCGAATTTAAATTCGAATTGCGCTTTTATAAGTGGATTAGACCTTAAGTAGCACTTAACACTTAACAAGGCTATATAAATAGCCAGTCATTATTTATAATGATTGACGGTCTGTGATTATCTGTCAAATATTGATTAGTATTTTTATATATGATAGTTTTGTGGGTAATTATTTTTAGGGTAAATTAGGTTATGTGTGTCGGGGGTGTTGGTAATTATTTGTGTTTATAACACGTATGTGAAGCGGGTTTCATTCATGAAGAAGTCTGGAGGATGTGTTGTGACTTTAACCTGCCGTTTAGCCCTTGTTTATGAGGCAACCCGTTCTCAGGTTGGGCTCGTTCAAGCTGCGGTTAACCCCCCAACCCGTCCTCAGGCTGGGCTCGTCCAAGCTGCGGTCGACTCCCAACCTGTCCTCAGGCTGGGCTCGTCCAAGCTGCGGTCGACTCCCTAACCTGCCCTCAGGCTGGGCTCGTCCAAGCTGCGGTCGACCCCCAACCCGTTCTCAGGCTGGGCTCGTCCAAGCTGCAGCCGTACAGTGGTTGTATCACGTCTAGCACACCACAAGTTTTCATTTTAAAACTATTTTTAATATTATGTTGTATTCTAAGTCATGCCTGGCGTCAGTCCGCCCTCTCGCGATATACGTTGTGTATTTTTTTTTTTTACAGAGTCGACTAATTCGAAGTATTAATACAAATTAAAGCTCCTTAATATTGACGTTTTCTATGCATCGGCTTCGATAGGTTAGGTGGGTTGCATGGGGTCCAGCGTTTCTGGCTGGACAAAACAGTTGCATTCTTACGGAGCGGCTTATCCAGAGGAGACCCGGGATGTCTCTACGCTGGGCCGCGATCACAACAATGTTGGAGTATTGTTTTAAATTCGGTTTGCCATCATTTCCCTCTGCCTGTTCTAACAAGTTCTTTTTCTAATGATTAGTATATATTTCTGGCTCACTTGGTGCGTGGGTACTACTACTCCAGAGCTTACTGATAGCAAGACTAGTATTGGCCTCAGTCATGTCCCTTGACAGGCTCATAGCGGCCCGCCAACCAACATGTAAACATAAAATTGACAGTGAAGAGAGTTTGGGTACAGTCCTGCTTGGTCAGTACAGACGCAGAGAATACTGTGAATGGTGAAGTGTCCCACGAGTGTGACTGAGAGATGGGCGAGGTGGGTGGGAGGGGGGTGAGAGTGCACCTCAGAGTCACGGGGGGAGGGGGAGAGTGCACCTGAGAGCCGCGGGTGGCACACACACACGCACTATGCACGCACAGTGACACAACCATTCGGTAATAATGCTTGCTTAAGCTAGCGTCTCGCAGCCCGCGTGTGAGTGTCTCATAATTATTTTGTCTTTACAGGTAGGTGAGCGGACGAGGTTCAGCGGGTCCCAGCCACCAGGTGAGTCCTCCACTCTTCGTCACCCCAACCTCCTGCTGACTCTCTACATGTAACTTCCTGCTGACTCTCTACTTCTAACTTCCTGCTGACTCTACTTCTAACTTCCTGCTGACTCTACTTTTAACTTCCTGCTGACTCTCTACTTCTTCCTGCTGACTCTCTACTTGTCTAACTTCCTGCTGACTCTCTACTTCTAACTTCCTGCTGACTCTACTTTTAACTTCCTGCTGACTCTCTACTTCTTCCTGCTGACTCTCTACTTGCCTAACTTCCTGCTGACTCTCTGCTGCCAGTGATGGTGATCTTCACAACATTGTCACTCTCTCCTGTTCTTGGCTCACATCTCTCAAGGCAGGTAAGATATCCAAGGTAGACAGTATGTAGAGGTTGTACGTCTCGCATATATGGAGTGAAAGACAAGACGGAAACCGTCTTAAAGCACTCAGTGTACTGTCTGGGTCAAAGACGGGAGAGATGTATCATAATGTTTGCAAGAAAAGAGCTCCAAAGTCTACAAGGTCTATTTTCTACATTAATGTCAAACTTATCTGAGTGCGAGATAAGGTAGGAAATGTAGAGAACTCCTGTGTAGAGTAAGTTAGAGTAAGTAGAGTGAGGGTGCTATTATAAAACACGACTCTTCAACCTTCCACCAACAGACGTAAATATTGCTGATAGAAAACTTTGCTTCACGAGCCGTTGATGAGGAAGTTTTACCAGTTTCTTCAGGAAATGCCTGATCAGCCGGGTTGTGATGGCTGTGTGGTCCAGAGGGCCGCAATCATCAACAGTTTTCTTGATCAGGTTATGAGGGACGGACCTGCCGCAGGTCTGGCAGAGAGAGTGTAAAGACTCGAGGCCTGCCTCAGATGAAGAGTTTACCAGCACTACAATTACCAGTTGTGGCACATGCAGCGTTGAAACCACCTATTCCACTCAGTTGCACACCCAACGCTGCAGTCATCATTGCATCAATTACACCGCCACCCAACATTGCAGTTTGCAATGCCTCATTATTATAGTCATCGACAGTACTTGGTTTACAGTCACAAAACCCACACACTTACGAAGCTCTTGTACACACGCGGGGAGTAACTGGGACCACAGTTCGTCACCAGCAATAAACTCCTCTTAAATACAAGCTCAAATGGTCAAGTAATTTGTTAACATGGAGAGGTTGGTTGCTAAATAACGGATTGGTCTACTTTAATGTGTATAGTTATGCCGCTTGGCTTTGGCTGAGATTCATTTACAGTGGCCAGTAAAGTTTGTAGAGAGCGTCCCTGCTGGCAGACACGCCCAGCAGCTCTCAGGGGAGTTGTACCGCCAGGTTAACACCAAGAATAATGGGATTAACAGCATGTAATACACGTGTCACGGTTGAGAAATGTTTAAGGTGAGCTCAGATAATATGCACCTTAAATACTAATAGCGATAATTCGCTGTATACAAGCCGCATCCTCTCACCTCCAGGGCAAAGCTAGACAAATGGCGTTAATGTAACATTGAATTAACGCTGATGCTATGTTTATTTAACGTTAATCGAACCTATTTTGTCTGCTGGACATATCAAGAGGAAGTTAAGAGTGTGTGTGTGAAGGAGCGTAGATAATCTCTACTTGGGGAGTAGAAGAACTCCCAGAACCCCATCAAGCAGGTATCAAGCAGGTTGAAATGTTTGAGAGATGGGCAAGTGGTGGTGGTGTGTGGGTGGGGGGAAGGGGGCAGCATGGTAACACCTGCCTGTTCTTAGAGTGTATTATCACTCCTCAGGGTGACAGTACCAGTGGTAGGGATCATGTCTTAGCCTCCCCTCACCTTGCTTGGTGGCGTCATTACCTTGGGTGTAGATACCTAAGACGTCATGTGTGTATTCCACAAACGATTGTATACATATTGCCTCTTATTATCTGTAGACTTGGCTGTTTAACAATATTGTATTGTTAGGTAAACTTAACTACACATTTTGGGGTTACATTTAAAGCAAGGGTGAAAGGAGCCGGTCGGCCGAGCGGACAGCACGCTGGACTTTTGATCTTGTGGTCCCGGGTTCGTCCCCGGGCGCCGGCGAGAAACAATAGGCAGAGTTTCTTTCACCCTATGCTCCTGTTACCTAGCAGTAAAATAGGTACCTGGGTGTTAGTCAGCTGTCACGGGCTGCTTCCTGGGGATGGAGGCCTGGTCGAGGACCGGGCCGCGGGGGCACTAAAGCCCCGAAATCATCCCAAGATAACTATAACCAGGTTATGGATGGAGCACATGAATTGTAAAGGTTTTGTTTAAATATTGGCATTTGAAGAGTTGTATTGTTGGGCTGAAATGAGCAAAATTCTTCCCCAGTTACACACCCGACCCAAACATGTGACACAATAGAGGAAGTGACGGCGTATTGGTCCGTCTTGCACCATTGTCAGCACGTGATGAGAGAGGCTCTAAACTATGCATAATTTCATGGTGGTTGCTATCATGGTGTTATCCTGGTGATTGACTGGCGCGTGGTGTTGTTATCAGTAAGGCTTGTGGCCACATGTTCTAGGTAAGACATTTGATTATAGTATGTATCGACACACTGCATACTTGGACTGTATCGCTTTTGTAAATTGAAAACTGATGGACCATGTCGCCTAAGAAGGCTTTTTCTTCCTGTTCCTTTGAACATTGTTCCTCTTTCTTCTGTGTTGACTCCCATTATAATCTTGGATGTCGTTATTATGTCTCTACTGATTCCTTTTAGTGTAGTTAGGTCGAGTTCCTAAGTCTTTACTCTTAGTTGAGGTCCAACAGCTTTGGAACGAGCCTTGTCGCATACCTTTTTATCTTTCTAGTTTTGTTAATGGAAGTTCCTTGCCAGTGCAGCACACTCAGGCACCTCGTCCTCTCGAGCGTTCACAACGTCACTAAAATGATGTACTAAATTCTCCGAACCTAAACTAGCCGAGGACCCACGAATAGAAAACGGGACATCACGTCAACATTGAGAGCCGCTGAGATGTTTAGTACATCAGTTTTTGGCCTTAGGGTGTTTATACGTCAAAATGTGATGTAGTGTTGGCGAGGCTGGGTTGACTCAAGAGGAAGCCTCACGCAAGGGTGTATACAGCGGCCGGAAGGGTCTTTTTGTGCCCTCTGTAACCCTTTTTGCGCTACTGCTCACAGGATGAGTATGGGGTGCACAATAAACTAGGGGGTTTATACGTCAAAATGTGATGTAGTGTTGGCGTGGCCGGGTTGACTCAAGAGGAAGCCTCTCGCAGGGTGTATACAGCGGCCGGAAGGTTCTTTTTGTGCCCTCTGTAATCCTTTTTGCGCTACCGCTCACAGGATGAGTATGGGGTGCACAATAAACTAGCCACCTGCGGCGGCAACCATCAAACACATAACAAGTTGGTGAAGACTGTCCTTACTGTGTACAGTTTGGCACATGCTGCTGGCGTTATTCTCGTGATGCGTGCCTTTGGTAGAGTTGTGTTGGTGCGTCCTGCTAGGAGGGTTACTATGGTGGCCGCGGTGTGCGGCACGCTGCTCTCAGTCTCTTACCTGAGTGTCTTACAGGTTGAGGAAGAGGACCAGACTCTCTCTGATGGGACACAAATGTTGAGGGTTATCTTGAGATGATTATCTTGAGGTTATCTTGAGATGATTTCGGGGCTGTTGGGGCTCCGGTTGACGCGGTGTCCTCACCAAGTATTGGCGTGTATCGTCAGCCAGTGCTCCCACCACACACACACACACACACAGTCTGCAAGGAAAGATCGCATGAGTAACTCCTGCAGACAGTTTCCTGAAGCATGCACCCCGTAATGCTAGGCGTGACAATGCAATCTCTCTTTTTTTAATAATTTAGCAGTGTTTTTGGATGTGTGGTAGTCACGCTACGAGCGACACACGAACCTCACGCCCAACCTCTGCCAGTGTCACGAATTCATGCTTTAAATATGTGACAAAAACGCGTGTAATTTTTATTCATAAAACAAGCGTTTGAATGTAATTGGTAGAAGGAGACGAGGGCAGAGGTGGTGCAGATTGTCAGCGAACACTAACTAGGCTGTACGCTGGACTTGTGATCCTGTGGTCCTGGGTTCGATCCCAGGCGCCGGTGAGAAACAATGGGCAGTTTCTTTCACCCTATGCCCCTGTTACCTAGCAGTAAAATAGGTATCTGGGTGTTAGTCAGCTGTCACGGGCTGCTTCCTGGGGGTGGAGGCCTGGTCGAGGACCGGGCCGCGGTGACACTAAAAAGCCCCGAAATCATCTCAAGATCTCAAAGCCTGCTGCCGACCCAGCTACTTTGACTGGACGGTAGAGCGACGGTTTCGCTTCATGCAGGTCGGCGTTCAATCCCCGACCGTCCAAGTGGTTGGGCACCATTCCTTCCCCCTATCCCATTCCAAATCCTTAATCTGACCCCCTTCCAAGTGCTATATAGTCGTAATGGCTTGACGCTTTCCCTTGATAAACAAAAATAGGCCTGCTGTCGTAATATTACGTAAACAATACTGATCCTACACAGTTAAATCACAGTATCGGGGAAATAATGAGGCGGTACAATGTGATTGAGCCTTCCTGGGGAGTCCAGGGACACGGGTTCGATCCTGTTACACGGTCTCACGATTTTCTCAGCACCGCTCCCCTCTTTTACTGGAGAGTGTTGTGACCCCACAAGGCCCTGCGGGTGACCCCACAAGGCCCTGCGGGTGACCCCACAAGGCCCTGCGGGTGACCCCCACAAGGCCCTGCGGGTGACCCCCACAAGGCCCTGCAGGTGAACCCCACAAGGCCCTGCGGGTGACCCCCACAAGGCCCTGCGGGTGACCCCCACAAGGCCCTGCTGGTGACCCCACAAGGCCCTGCGGGTGACCCCCACAAGGCCCTGCGGGTGACCCCCACATGGCCCTGCTGGTGACCCCACAAGGCCCTGCGGGTGACCCCCACAAGGCCCTGCGGGTGACCCCCACAAGGCCCTGCAGGTGAACCCCACAAGGCCCTGCGGGTGACCCCACAAGGCCCTGCTGGTGACCCCACAAGGCCCTGCTGGTGACCCCACAAGGCCCTGCTGGTGACCCCCACAAGGCCCTGCGGGTGACCCCCACAAGGCCCTGCGGGTGACCCCACAAGGCCCTGCTGGTGACCCCACAAGGCCCTGCTGGTGACCCCACAAGGCCCTGCTGGTGACCCCACAAGGCCCTGCGGGTGACCCCCACAAGGCCCTGCGGGTGACCCCCACAAGGCCCTGCAGGTAAACCCCACAAGGCCCTGCGGGTGACCCCACAAGGCCCTGCTGGTGACCCCACAAGGCCCTGCTGGTGACCCCACAAGGCCCTGCTGGTGACCCCCACAAGGCCCTGCGGGTGACCCCACAAGGCCCTGCTGGTGACCCCACAAGGCCCTGCTGGTGACCCCACAAGGCCCTGCGCGTCGTTAATATTGACCCAATCCTACGGCACCTGCAGTTTCCCTTTGTAAATTGAGTCCCAGATTGGGTGAATGCCAGATCGAACCGGCAGACTGCGACACGATGCCGGAATAAACCCAAGTAAAACACGACGCTGTTATCCTGTTCACTGTGATATGTTATCCAGAGGTGTAGGTCAGGATGGCATTATCCGGAGGACAAGGACATGATGTAGTTATCCGGAGGACAATGATATCCGGTGAACAGTATATAATTCGTGTTGGGGAGAGCTAGGAATCTGTATTTATCGAGGTCCAATAATCCAGCCACTGACCTTACCCAGAATGCCGCCCACAACAATTGTCTAACTCCCCCGGTATATCTTTTACTGGTATAGCTAGCTAAACAGACGCATAGGATGAAGGGAAACGTGCTCGAGCGATTCTGTCCTGACCGGGATATTGAACACAACTTCCTCGGTTGTGAGGTGAGTATGTAGACTACTGTGCCACGTAGTGTAGACTATGCTTCAGTTGCCGTTAAAAAAGATGAGATAGAGTTGGAGGGCTGGGGGGAGGGGGGTAGGCCAGGTTGTGTGGCACAGTGTGTGTGAGGTGGTAACCGCACTCTGCCGCCGTGTGACTCTTCCCAACCCAACATTGAGTGTGAGACTAGAGTGATGTCTCGCATCAGCGCTGTGGCGAGAGCGGCTGGTATTACCATGTGAGGCGCCTATCTTAGGTACGACGTTCACAACTGTGCAAGTGTGTCTGTCTGTCTGTCTGTCTGTCTGACTGACAGGATGACTGTCTTAAGGTGTTTTGGTTACGTTTCCATGACTAAAATGCTAAGATTGGCTATCGTCTGTCTCAGTATTTCTCATGGTTCATTTGACTTGGTTTCTGTGTTAGGAACCATCTAGCGTGATTTACCTGTAAAGAACTACCTAGCGGGATTTATTTATGGAGATTAACGGGATTAACCTGGATATGGCCAGTACCAGTGGCCTGTATGGCCAGATATAGCAGTAAATAGGTACCTGGGAGTTAGACAGCTTCTACGGGCTGCTTCCTGGGGATGTGTAACAAAAAAAGAGGCTTGGTCGAGGACCGGGCCGCGGGGACACTAAGCCCCGAAATTATCTGATTGCTTGATTGATGAAGATTAAGCTACCCAAAAGGTGGCACGGGCATGAATAGCCCGTAAGTGCTGGCCCTTTTGAGTCGTTACCAGTATCATTAGTTAATACTGGAGATCTGTGGAGGTGCGACTGCACCCTGCGTGACGGGAGATGTCTCCCCCGTGGAAATCATCTCAAGATAACCTCAAGATATACCCCCGAGGCTGTGCCAGTACCATGGTTGCCAGTAGCATGGTGTAGTGGCAAGAACTATGCCATAGTGCCACCACGACACTCACCCCCCGGGTGGTGCCGGTGAGAGGGTGTCGTGGTGGCACTCTGGGTGTCTGGGGCTCTGCCACACGCTCTCACCCTGGGGTAAGTTGAAGGATGAAACACGCGCACACGCAACAACCCTCGCGCGCACTCCTCCCCGTAACCAACATGAACATCAAACTGGCCAAGAACAATAATAACATGGCTAACATCTTGAGTCGAGTACAAGCTTGGTGCCAGAAACATAAGTGACATACGAATATTCCCAACGACGCCTGTATAGCGGCGCTGGAAACAGGAGTTCAGATGAACCGGAGGGAGTTAGCGGGGCCCAGGCGCTGGAGCTCAACCCAGGTAAACACATATAAGCAGAGGTACATAACCGCCTCTAGGTGAGAACACCGCACCTGCGCCCCGTGGCGGAAAACGTCTTGGGGTCGCACTATGTTTTCTCAAGTTGATGGGCCCAATTTTGGGTGCTACAGAAAAATGTAATAGTCTTGATTTGGAAGGTAATGTAATCATAATTTTGGCGTTGGGATCATTTGCAGGTGGCCGTGGTTGTGATTATTGGGTGATGTGTCACATTAGCTGTGGGTGGGGGTTGTGCAGGGTTGTTATTATTGTTGTTGATGTCACGCAGTATTGGTGTTGGTACATGGAGCCATCTGGCCGTTACGATGGGTCTCATTGGTACATTATGTAATGAGAGTGGTGGTGGTGGTGGTTGGTGGTGTGGTGTGGTGGTGGTGTGGTGGTTGGTGTGGTTGTAGTGGTTGGTGGTGTGGTGGTGGTGGTGGTTGGTGGTGTGGTGGTTGGCAGTGTGGTGTGGTGGTGGTGTGTTGTGGTGTGGTGGTTGGCAGTGTGGTGTGGTGGTTGGCAGCGTGGTGTTGTGGTGGTGGGCAGCGTGGTGGTGTTGTGGTGGTGGTGTTGTGGTGGTGGTGGTGGTGTTGTGGTGGTGGTGGTGGTGTTGTGGTGGGCAGCGTGGTGGTGTGGTGGTGGGCAGCGTGGTGGTGGTGGTGTTGTGGTGGGCAGCGTGGTGGTGGTGGTGTTGTGGTGGGCAGCGTGGTGGTGTGGTGGTGGGTAGCGTGGTGGTGTTGTGGTGGTGGTGGTGTTGTGGTGGGCAGCGTGGTGGTGGGCAGCGTGGTGGTGTTGTGGTGGGCAGCGTGGTGGTGGTGTGGTGGTGGGCAGCGTGGTGGTGGTGTGGTGGTGGGAAGCGTGATGGTGGGCAGCGTGGTGGTGGGCAGCGTGGTGGTGGGCAGCGTGGTGTTGTGGTGGCGGGCAGCTTAGTGATGGTGTGGTGGGCAGCGTGGTGTTGTGGTGGTGGGCAGCGTGGTGGTGGGAGGGAGGGGGGCTGGGGGTTGCCCCATTCTGGTCCCCGGGGGAGGGCTGGTGGGAGAGTGGCGGCCATCTTGTGACTCCTCTGCTCGTCTCCTCGCTCACGTTAATTAACCTGCACAGTTTGTCACTTTTCATGTTTATTTACACTTTTGAAGTTAGTTATTTTTAGCCGAACATTCTTTAAGTGTGTGTGATTATGGAATTAATCTGTTATCACTTGTTTTTAATGTGTTCAATTATGATTTTTGTTTGCGTAATTGCCAGTTGTGTTTATTTGTTAATGCTATTGATTAGTTTGTGCATTTGTTAAGAGACTTGAGTGAGAAAATGATGTACGGGAGAGAAGGCTTACTATGTCGGTTAATGATTACAGGAGAGCATCCTTTATCCTTCGCGGAGGAGGAGAGCATCCTTTATCCTTCGCGGAGGAGGAGAGCATGTGGAGTGTGAGAGTGAGGCGGGGATGGTGTGAGAAGTAGCATTATAGTGTCACTGTCTCACTATCTCTGGTTACCACGTTACAGGTACCTGGATCACGGCGCACAGGTACCTGGATCAATGGGCAACAAGCGAGGCGTCTTGTGTGGACTCAATACAAGATACGGGCTCA